TTTTATCACTCTGCCTCGTGCCAGGTAGGGCGAGAACCCTAGCAGCGCCGCTCTCTTTAGTTCTCTCGAGGTTAAAAGATCCTATCTTGGAGACGCGAGTAATTCTTTTTAAAAATTTAAATCTAAATATAAACTTTACATAACTTTTCATTAATTATTATTTTTAGTTCTGATAATTAATTTTATCTAAGTAAAAGTTATATTATCTCAATGTACTACATCACCTAAACATTAAAATTAATAATTTTTTTAAAGTAAAAAAAATATTTTAGTAAATTTTATAAAGATTAAATATGCAACCTCTTGTAGAGATTAATAAAGACTTAATTAAACTACTTATCTTCATAATATAAAAGTAGATGAGTTTTGGAGGGAAAGTTGCAATGAATTTTGAAGGGGATTTTGCCTTCACTTTTTAATGCAATAATTTTTATATAATAATTAATAATTATTATTTAAGGCCATCTTAAATGCTTTAATTCAAATTAATTAAATTCATTCATTTTTAATTAGCAGTTTTGATATATCTTTACTTTTAAAGCCGTCTTGAATGGTTTAATTCAAATCAGTTAAATGTATTTATTTCTAATTAGTAGTCTTTATATATTCAAAAGGTGCATCCTTTGTGGCAGATTTGAACATTAATATTAATGTTTATTTTAAATTTTATTATTAGAAATTAATAACTGGTAAAATGAGTTTTGGAGGGAAAGTTGCAATGAGTTTTGGAGGAGAATTTTCCTTCACTTTTTAATACAATAATTTTTATATAATAATTAATAATTATTATTTAAGGCCATCTTAAATGCTTTAATTCAAATCAATTAAATTCATTCATTTTTAATTAGCAGTTTTGATATATCTTTACTTTTAAAGCCGTCTTGAATGGTTTAATTCAAATCAGTTAAATGTATTTATTTCTAATTAGCAGTCTTTATATATTCAAAAAGTGCATCCTTTGTGGCAAATTTGAACCTTAATATTAATGTTTATTTTAAATTTTATTATTAGAAATTAATAACTGGTAAAATTACATAAAACTCTTGAACTTTAAATTAAGTTTATTATAAAATTAAAAAAAAAGTAAAAAAAAAAGACGTAGAAAAAAGTGAAAAGAAAATCAAATATATTGATTTGATTCTCAATGACTTGGAGTGAGTATTATTTTATAACATATTTTAATAGTTAAAATATTTGTTTAATATTTTTTTTCTCTTTCATTACTTTATACTAATTAAGATTATATTATATTGAATTTGTTTTGTAAGAATCAGAGAATTGTTTGCACTTTATGGGAGGAGTTTGATGATCAAATGGTTGTTTTTTAAAGAATGAAAATTTTAATGTTTTACCTATTATGATTATTCAATTATGTAAAGTAAAAACATTTGGTGGTATGATTCTTTATCTATATTGAACTTTTTTTAATTGTGTGATAGTTATTATTATCAACAAATTATAGTTTATAGTTGTTTCAAGAATTTTAGGCATATCAAATGCTTATAATGAGACAAAATTATATATCAATCTTAACATAAAAAAGGCTATTGATTACAAGAATAAATAAGTATTTTAATTATTTTTTATTTATAGAGACATCATTATGTTTTGCATGATGTTTCCTGTTTTTGTTAACTTATAAGTTATCCAATTTGTGGTATAGGATTAATATGAATGATGCAGATATAAGTCAAGTATTAAGTCCGATGGGTACTTTTCTGTTTCAATGGAAGATGATTTGCTCCAAGCTCAAAGCATGACCATATATACATGAAATAATTGAGTATGTTTTGTATTGAAATAATGAAGTGAAATGAATATAATTAGCAGTTAAATACAATTTTAAATTTTAACATAAATGATTTAATTTAAATTTTATTCTTGAAAACTGATAATTTGTATATGATTAATGAAGAATAATGGAATAAATGAATAAGAATTGATGAGTGTGTGTGTGTGTGTATATATATATATATATATATATATATATATATATATTCTAAGGGTCATTTATATTACATTTGAATCTGTTATAAATAATCAAATAAGAACTATATGGACAAACATAAAATATTTAATAAAGATTAAAAAATTATATTTTATTTAGTATATATATATATATATATATATATATATATATATATATATATATATTAACATATTTGTACTTTCTTTTTAACCTTAATATTAACATATAGGATCATTCATGAAGAATAGTAAAATGAATAAATTATAATTAATTAATTTATATATTTAAAAGGTCATACAACAATGAAATAATAAGAATTAATATTAATTTAGTATTTGTAATTTAAATATTATATGAAAAAAGTACAAAAACTGTTAAAAAGTTGGTATACAAGAAAATCTTTTAAAATATAAATTAGATTTATTATAAAAATTATGACTTTCCTTTTTAATTAATGTCAATAAAAAAGAAAAATACTTTATAAAGTTCTATATTATATTTTTTTCTTTCAAATAACTAATATTTTTATTAATAATAATATTAACATATACTAATTAATTTTAAACTTTCAAATAGTTTAAATATTATTATAAAGTTTTTCTTATCATAATATTTGTATATATTTTATATGTGACCTATAAATTTTATATTATATCAACATGTGTAATTTTAATTAATATAAAAATTATTTTTGTTTTCAATAAAATTATTCTTCTCTTTTACTTTTTATTTAAATCTTAATTCAAAATTTTAAAATATATAAAGTATATAAAATTTGCATATGAAAATTTATTTATCTTATTTTTTAATCTATTTATATTTGATATTATTCAATATAATATAATTTTATTATTATATTTTTTATATTTAAATTATAATTTTATAATATTTATATATACTAATTACAATATAAACAAATTTCGGTGACATATAAATATATTTACTAATCTATAATTAAAATTTTTATAATAATATTTATAATATTTAAAGTCACATATAAATTATTTTTAACTGTTATATTTATTTTTATAGATAATTTATTTTCAAAATAATCAAAAATTTTATTTAATAATTTTTATCTTTCTGTTATATTAAAAATAATTAATTTAATATTTAAATTATAATTATTTTAAAATTAAATTATATATATATTTAATTAATAAATATACGATTCAATAATAAGAAATTAAATTATGATATTTAATACATAACAATAGTTTCAGAAATATAAAATAGGTTTATTTAATAAAAAAATTATTTATTTTTATCTTTAAATTGTGTGCTATATAATTTTATAAGATAAAATAAGATATATAATTTTATTCTTTCAATAATTTTTGCTTTAAAATATTTAAATATATTAATTTTTTTTTTATTAAGAATCCTTATGTTGTGATATGTATATATACATATTAAATTATTATAAATTAATTATAAGAGTATTTTTAAACATTATAGAATTAAATTTATAATTTATAAATTTAAATTATATTTAAGTTTAAACTTTTTACTTTTAAAGTTAATTTATAAATATTTAAAAGTATATTATAAATCTTTATCTAATATATTAAATCATTTTATTAATAATAATATTATTATATACTAATTAATTTTAAAATTTAAAATAATTTAAAAGTATTTTTAAACTTTATAAAATTAAATCTATGATCTTATAAATTTAAATTTTATTTGAATTTAATCCTTTTACTTTTAAAATTAATTTAAAAATATTTAAAAGTATATTATAAATTTTTATATAATATATGAAATCATTTTATTAGTAATAATATTAATATATACTAATTAATTTTAAATTTAAAATAAATTAAATATTATCATAAATATTTTATAGAATTATTTTTTATTTTATAATTATTAATTATAATATTATACTATAATATAATAATTTATCCGTGCATTGCACGGGTCACTTATAAATCTTAATTAAAATTTTAAAATATATAAAATTTGTATATAAAAATTTATTTATCTTATTTTTTAATATATTTATATTTGATATTATTCAATATAATATAATTTTATTATTATAAATTTATAATATTAATATATACTAATTATAATATAAATAAATTTCTGTGACATAAATATATTTACTAATCTATAATTAAATTTTTTATAATAATATTTATAATATTTAAAGTTACATATAAATTATTTTTAACTGTTATATTTATTTTTATAGATAATTTATTTTAAAAATAATCAAAATTTTCATTTAATCTTTTTTATCTTTCTTTTATATTAAAAAAAATTAATTTAATATTTAAATTATAATTATTTTAAAATTAAATTATATATATATATATTTAATTAATAAATATACGATTCAATAATAAGAGATTAAATTATAATACTTAATAAATAATAAAAATTTTTGAAACACAAAATAGGCTTATTTAATAAAAAAAAATTTATTTTTATCTTTAAATTGTGTGCTATATAATTTTATAAAATAAAATAAGATATATAATTTTATTCCTTCAATAATTTTTACCTTAAAATATTTTAAATATATTAAAATTATTTTTTTTATTAAAAATCCTTATATTTTGATATGTATATATAATGTTAAATTATTACAAAATAATTATAAAAATATTTTTAAATTTTATAGAATTAAATTTGTAATTTATAAATTCAAATTATATTTAAGTTTAAACCTTTTACTTTTAAAGTTAATTTATAAATATTTAAATGTATATTATAAATATTTATATAACATATGAAATCATTTTATTAATAATAATATTAATATATACTAATTAATTTTAAATTTTAAAATAATTTAAATATCATCATAAATATTTGATATAATTATTTTTTATTTTATAATTATTAATTATAATATTATACTATAACATAATAAAAACTTAACAACAAAAACATGATCCTAGTTAAAAAAATTCCCAAAAAAAAAACGCAAACAAGGATTGGAGTTCGGGTCATGGGCTGGTTGGGCCCAAATATTCAATTAAGAAAACAAAGTCTCCGCCATGCCGGTAATTCAAAAACCCTAATTTATCTGTTCTTTTCTCTCAGCCGCTGCGACGCGAACAGAGAGATCCCAAGCCAGATTTCAAGATGAAGGTTATCCTCTCAAACTCTAATTTTGCGTCCTGCTTTGATTTCTTGCTTTTGCGACTGAATATTTACACATACAACTTCTTTTGTAGTTCAACATTGCGAATCCCACCACCGGTTGTCAGAAGAAGCTCGAGATCGATGATGACCAAAAACTGTAATCTCTTCACCACTTTAATTTTCCATTGATTGCGTATATTGAAGAAGCAGATGAAAAATGTCGGAAATTGAAATTATTTTAATGCCAGCAGTATAAATGCTGAGTGTATGATAGTACTGTGAAACTGTAAATTTGATTTGTATGTCATTCAGAGTCAATTTATCTGAAGAGATTGTGTTCCTTGATGTTATTGGGCCACGCAGCTTGTAATCATGCTCGCGATTTGGAATTTGTTTTTTTTTTGGATTTTGATTGGTTTTGTGTCTGTCATGATTGTTCTATTTTAAATTGTAGTCGAGCATTTTGGGACAAAAGGATCTCACAAGAGGTTGTTGGTGATGCTTTGGGTGAGGTATGGTTTTCGGGTGGATTCCTTACACGGCTCGGTGTCTCCTGAATTTTTTTTGAGGAACTTCGATCAATAATTGACGTATTCTCCTATATTGGCAGGAATTCAAAGGCTATGTCTTCAAAATCACTGGAGGTTGTGACAAACAGGGGTTTCCAATGAAGCAGGGAGTGTTGACCCCTGGTCGTGTTCGCCTTTTACTGCACAGAGGTAGAATTAATCTGATGCCTTTTTGCTTTGTTTGATTTTAGAGAGATAATGGATTACTATTCTGAAGCATTCGTTTGTTTCGCATGTTCTAAATATGGATTTGGATGTGGCCTAAAATATTTTGTAAATGGTTCCTATGTGTCCTGCCTCTTTTGTTCAGTAACATGCGTTGTCTGATTCTTTTTCAAGTAATATTGTGAATGTATTTGTTGCTGGAATACTATTTTCTCTTCATAACTGGAGTCAGAATTCTCTTAGACAACCCTTGTTCCTGGTTTATTATTAATTTTCATTTCATTGGATGCTTGAGCAGGAACTCCTTGTTTCCGTGGATATGGAAGGCGCAATGGTGAGCGTAGGAGGAAATCTGTTCGTGGCTGCATTGTCAGCCCAGACCTCTCTGTTCTGAACTTAGTAATTGTAAAGAAGGGTGAAAATGATTTACCTGGCCTTACTGATGTTGAAAAGCCAAGGATGAGGGGTCCAAAGAGAGCATCTAAAATCCGCAAGCTGTTCAATCTGTCTAAGGAGGATGATGTGAGGAAGTATGTCAACACATACCGCCGAACATTTACAACCAAAACTGGTAAAGTTTCTTCTCTCTGAATGTTCTATTTAGATTTTAGCTTTTGTCTTGCCCTTAAGAAGAGGAACTGATGGGAAGATAGAATTTGGTAACGAAACATGGTTTACATGTTTAACCTGTTTATAGTTTGTAATCTTTTCTCATCCCTACTGTCCAATTCTAAGTTTGGATTTATCAAATTCATTTGTTTGCAAGTGTCTTCGTTAACAAACCTAATCTGGTTAACGAAAATTACTTTTGAAGTTAAACCTGTCTATAATTTGTATTTTGTTCACACCTCGTAAGATTTTATCCAATCCAACTACTATTCAGAGCTTTGTGTGTGTATCAATATACGACTTCTGATAAAAATATGGTTTCCTTACATTATTCCTTTAAAATCCTATAAAAATTATCACATTCTGCTTAGGAAGCTAACTCCTAGCCCTACAACCTATCCTATGTTTCGAATATTTATGTTGTTTGTTTGATGACGGACCCATTTGAATAGTAGATTATTTATAATTTGTAGATATACAAGTTGTGATGGCTTCAGGTCTGAGTATATAATGTTTGGTTGCAGGGAAAAAGGTGAGCAAAGCTCCAAAGATACAACGACTGGTCACCCCCCTAACTCTTCAAAGAAAGCGGGCAAGAATTGCAGATAAGAAGAAGAGAATCGCTAAAGCAAAATCAGAGGCAGCAGAGTACCAGAAACTTCTTGCCTCCAGGTTGAAGGAGCAGAGGGAACGCCGTAGTGAGAGCTTGGCTAAGAGGAGATCAAGGCTTTCCAGTGCTGCTAAGCAATCTGCCACAGCATGAGCTGCGTTCGAACTGATGTTTAATCTTCGTCCTAGTTTTTGATAGTCTTATTTCATAATCCTTATGTTTTGGTATTTTGCAATTCAAATACTTTTCTTTTTTAATATTTCTTTGATGTTGTGTTCGGCAGTTTAATGGAATTTAAGTTTTACCTGGTTGGAATTAGTCACCTTTTGAAGCGAAGTTATATTTGTAGAGACGCCCTTTTGTGTACTTTTGATTTCTGCACGAACCTAACCACATCTCGTAACTTAGAATTTAAAGCAGGTCTAACCGTTGTGTTGCCTTACTTTACCCGCTTACTTCCCTTTCTTCTTATTGCGGAAAAAAAATTTCTAAAAGGTGCAACCAATTTGAAGGGTCAAGTGTAGGGTTGGAAATGAGACACTAGTTTACAAATTGGTTCGCAAGTTCGAATAGGGTAACCGAAAAGTTAAAATAGAGAATTTCAAGGTTAGTTCATAACACTTCAGTTCAATTCACGAGTTCAAATTACTTAAATTAGAAGTCAGTAAATTCAGTATATTAAAATAAAATTTAGGTATAATAACATATGAATTTCAATCAAAATAATAAAATTTTTAGCGCATTGCCTATGTAAGATTCGTTTGCTCGCATGGCATCGCAAAAATAGTTGCATTAAGCCGTTTGATATTCTCCCTTTCTATTATTATTACAGTTTTGTACTATTTTTGGCTTGGGTCTTTATGTAGCTTGAAGCTATCGGAAAAAAGAGTTGGAAGACTTGGATCAAGCACGAGTGACAGAACAATATACCTTTTTTCGCAAAATTAAGACCGGAATTAACCGTTATTAATCATATATTAAGCCTCGAGTGATCCTAAATAATGTAAACACTAAAAGTTGGGGCAATCGTTTTGGTTCCTATGAGCAACAGAAGAGTTATTGGACTATTGGGTCACAGATATCTATTAGTTCTATTTCAACCAATATTATTTTACGTAACTAATGAATCGAGCAATAAAGAACGTGGCAAATTGCGGAGAACATGTGGCAGGCTGAACCACACGTGGCAACCCCCTTGTTTGCCAGTTGCCACCGTTTCTTTCCAACATGCAGGCCTCGGCAAACGGTGTGAATCCATTTAAGCTTTAAACCGATCAAATTCGCTGTAGAAAAGAAACAACAGAACAGAATAACCTAACCAAAGTTGAAGATCAAAAGATATGGCAGCAATGTTCATAACTAGAAACGCCCTCTTCCGCTTCTCAAAGTCTTTCCCTTACGCCCCTTCACTCTCCCACAAACCCTCCAGAGTCACCTTCGCCCCTTCCTCCAACTATTCAGACGTAAGTTCGTCACTTTCATTATTTTTCTTCACCAACACTTCATTTTCTCAAGTGGGTTTCCATTATTTTAATATATAATTTTCAGTGGAGAAATGTAGCAGCAGAAGGAACGCGAGACTCGAGAGCCAACTGGGCCTACGATTCTCCAGAGGCAAAACGCGAAGCAGATGAAATGTCAGAGAGAGCGAAGGAAACGGTGAGTGAAGGCATGGACAGAGCCAAAGAGCAAGCTCAAGAAATGAAAGACAGAACCAAAGAATACGCACATGACGCCAAGGAGAAGACAAAGGAAGGGGCAGAGAGTGCAAAAGAGAAGGCAAAAGATTATGCTTATGACACAAAGGACAGTGCAAAGGAAGCTGCAGGAACTGTGGCTGATAAGACGAAAGAAGGAGCTGAGAAGACGAAGGAGAAGACGGAGGAGGTTGCTGGGTCGGCGAGCGAAACGTTGAAGAATGTAGGGGAAAAGGCAAAGCAAAGCGTGCAAGGGGCGTGGGAGACGGCGAAGGACACCACGCAGAAGATCAAGGAGACGGTGGTTGGTAAGGATGATGATGATGGTGATGATGTTGGTGGAAAGAGTGTGGTGGATGAGGAATTAAGAAGAGCTGGGAGGAAGGGTTATTAGAGAGAAGAAAGGGTTTAGTGCTCTACTGCTATGTCTTCTTGTTTGTGCATTTAATTTACTATTTATGTTTCTAGTTGTACTATTAGTTTGCTAGTTAACAGCAAAATATGTCTGTCCACCCTCATGCCATCCTATATTAGATGGTGTGCTTTGTGCACACACAATATCCTCCTTCCAATAAAACCTAATATTCCTCCATAATTTTATATTTTCTATTACTACGATCAATTCTCCTGCTTCAAAAGATACTTAGCACATTTTATGCGCTAGCTTTAAAAAACACTATGCTAGGTTTTTCTTGTTTCTTTTAAGAAGTTTGGGAAGCAGTGTTTTGGAGGGAAAAGGAGAATAGGATGAAATTTTGTTTTAATATTAATATATGTATATAGTTGATAATGTATAATTTTTATCCCCATAGGATTGGTTCATGATTTACGAAAGGGGTAGGGAGATGTAGGGTAGAGGAAGGAAAGAAGAATTTTTTGTTGTTTATTTTTATAATTTCAAACCGTAAAAAGAAGTAAAAGAACCCCAAATAGAACATGACCCAAAAAACAAAAGAAGTGAATAGCCATAGGCAGAAATATAGCAAACACAATGACTCCATGAGAGTAATGGAAAGGATGGTAAAAAAAATGAATGGATCATGAAAAGGTAAAAAGTGGGATTTCTTTTTTACTTTTCTCTAAATGTAATGGTTCATGAATGGATCCATGGATTTGATGACTATGCCAAAGTGTTAATTGTAAACTGACGAGGGAAAAAATTCGTAAATAATACTTATGTGCACCAAGGAAAACATTCTTCTAAAACATTATTTTTAATGTGATATTTCACATTTTCTTAGCTTCTTTGATTTTTCACTTGGAAGAATCCATTATTATTACCATCCACTCCCTATATATGTCAATTACACCCAATCCTTACATTATGATTTTGATGATTTTAATATCATTAAACTCCCTTTCAAATGTCTTCGGAACTACTAATCGCTGTTTTTCTTCTACTTTCATGTTGATAAAGCCACATCCAATCTGATAAAACATCTGTTTTCGGCCAACAATCTGAAACATTTTGTTGAGCAAAGTTTTTTTTTTTTTCTTTTGGGTCAATGACCATGTAAGCCCAATGAAAGTGCTTGACCATTGACTATCATTGATTAGACTAAAAAGCACCTGGGCGATCTCCGCCATGGCCCACACAACCCTCAAACCATAGAACTCTGCATAGGCCAAAAGAGAAATTTGCCTTCTCTGCAAACCTCTGTTCGGTTCAGCATTGACTAATGACTTGTAAAACCACTAAAAAATAATGAATATGATGAAAATTAAATTGTATAAAACTGAAAATATCAAATTAATTCAGAACTATTTTCTTCACTACATTTTGTGACAACCACAATCAAATGCCAATTTCATTTAAATATTATATTAATTAAAAAATAAATAAATCAAGCTATAGAATATGGTGATTTGGGATCAGGAATTCAGGAATCCCAATTCTTAAAATTTACAGAATTAGTAGATTAGTTAAAGAAGAACCAATTGGAATAAATAAAAAAATTAAAAGTAGAGATGAGTTATTCTTTTATTGATAAGTGTGTTTGAGAAGAAACTGGAGCAGAAGGGTGTGTAGGAGCAGTTGTAACTCCTCTATCATAACGTCACCACCATCTCCCTTCATTGCATCATCACGTGACTCGGGGCACGTGCCATTCTACCCTGTCAACGCGTAATGTGGTACATCTGCATCAGATTGGACTTGTCAGAACTGAACGATGAAATGTGAAATGATAAAATAAATAAGAATAATTCTAAGGTAACAAGTAACAGATGAATGATCTGTGCACACATTTTTTGTGATTCATATCTCCCAACTTAATTCCTACATGTTCAGTTTATAATTTTTTTTAAAAAATTGCATTTTTTTTAACATTTTCAATTAAGATTTTGAAAATCAAAATGAATAAAACATATATGACTAGCTCACCCACTGAAAATAAATAAAAATCGCAATTTTATAGTGTTTCCTTTTGATGCAAAATTTTAATTTGAATGGGACGTTTTTTGCGTAAATCAATTCAATATTTTAATTAGCTTAGATATAAATATTAATTTCAAATTAATTTTTTTTTATTGAAACGATCATTAAGAGAAATTTATGAGGATGCAAATTATTTTGTAACATGCATTAATATTTCACACGTGAGTAACGAAATTTACATCAATAAAAAATAATTTAGAAGAATTTGAATGAAAAGACTTATAAACCTATTCATTTCTAATTGTAAATTAGGAAGTGTTGTCAAAATTACAATGTTTTAAAAATGAAAAAAAAATATTATTTTGTACTATTTATTTATTAAAATTGAAGTTTCATTTTAATTTTTTTTTACATTTTATCATTAATTATTGACTTAAGACTTTAAGTTTGATTGGTGAAAAAATCTTAAGCAATTGTTATTTATGTTAAAGTTTTGTTCTTTTAATGTTGGACTAAGAAATAAAATTAAGACTGGTGATAGTTAAATAATGATTTTTAATATTAAATAATGAATCAATAAAATTTTATCAAAAAAGTTAAGTTAATATAAAATAATCATTTAGTATATTTTATTAGAAAATTTTCATAATAAATAGTTTTAAATTAATAATTCATGTTTACATCTATTGTACGAGCGTTTGTTTATTTTAAAATTATTATAGTCTTAATTAGAAATATTTAAAAAACACAAACAAATTTTTTTTTTATTTCCGTTTGTAGACAATTTTGATAAACTTTTAGACTGTGTTTAGATAAAAAAATAAAAAAATTATGAAATTTTAAATTTAAAGATATTTAAATTAAATTATTTTAAAATGTTTTATTTAATTGAGTAATTAAATTTATTTTAGTTAGACAAAGTAATAAACAAAATATTTATTATTAATTTCTTTTATGAAAATTTCCTGTTATAAACTTGTAAACATTGCCATCTTTAAGTCTTGCAAGAAATGAAGATAAAGAATTAAATTTAAAATTTGAAATTTGAAATTTGAAAGCGAGTAAAAATGAATGAAAATAGTAATACAAGCAAACAATGAATAGGTTAGAAGACAAGGTAAGTCAATATATAACATTGAGAAAAGAAAAAAGACAAAAATGACAAAGAGAAGAGAGAAATTGAGCTTATAAAAGAATTTTTAAATTCTTATTCTTTTTAATATAATTTATAATTCTCTATTTTAATTTATTAAATTTTTTTAAGTTTAAATTACTTAAAATTGAATATAAAAAAAATTATTTTAACACACATAATTTTAAACTCTCACAAAAATTAAATTTGTTTTCAAAAGTATCCATTTAAATACACTCTTAATCAACTTTTTATCCATCAATTCTATTTTATTTGAATTTTTTGCTTAACTCGTGGACAAGAATTTTCCTCTAACATTTGGTATCCTTAATTTTTCTTTAGAATTTTCTTAATCACAATTTTAAAAAAAGAATATGGGAAATAAAAATTTACTCAAATGATGATTTGAAATTTCAAGCTAAATAAGGTATATATATATTACATGTCCAGTTTTAACTTTGGGCTCATTAATATATTTAGCATGGTTACCTTGGGAATTGCGATTAAGAAAAGTAATATTAAAATATAAAAGTTGTGTGATAATTTAGAAATGCCAGGTGATTTTTTTAATGATTGAATGATTTTAAGGGATTTTTAATCTTAAATATTATATATATTTGTATATGATATCATTTTTATATAAAAACACTCTCCCTTTATATATATAATGAAAATATTATTTTATACAATAATAAAAAATAAAATTTAACTATTAAATATTATTATAAATAGTTAAATTTAAAACATAAAAATCAGAAGATAATTTTAAAAAGTCACATATTATTTTAAGCATTAATGTTACTTCAGAAACTTTTAATCTTCATTATACATGTATATTTATTCATTACAAAATTACAGGAAAAATATGTGAAAATAATAAAAATAAATTTAAATTATTATATCTAACTATAAAGGATAAAGATTAAAATATAAAAATAAAAATCTTAACTGTGCATTATATGGTTACATGATCTAAATTTGTTATTTTTATTTTCATAAAAAAATAAGTCAGTCTCATTGAATATATTCTCTATATATTAGAAACATATTAAGAAAAAGTATATATTTTTTATGTGAGAATAAAAAGTAATAATTAAATTTTACTATGAATAAAAAAAATATAAAATTTATGTGATAATTTTAAATTGTGTTATGACTTCTTTAAGTAACAATATTATTTTTAAAAAATAATATTAATAATTTAAGTATGAATGCAAAATCTAACTTATATTCTATTTTATATTTAAAAATTCCATTAAATATATTTATGCACAGGGATCATATCAAAGAAGGATATTTTTATGTAAAAATAAAATAAAATTTACAGTCATTGGGTTTTATCCTAAATTATTAAAATTAAGATAAACAAATTATGTGATAATTTTAAGATATAACTTTAATAATCTAATAATATATAGGAATAAGATGTCATATACACAAACACTATATGCTTCAGTTTTTGGATCGTAATGATTTAGGTTGAACTTCAGTATAAAAAAAAATTGTTATATATGCATATATAAAAGCAACAGTATTTTATTATCAATTAAGAATAGCATGTAAAAAGGTAAAAGAGAGGTAATAAAATATTTAATAAAAAATTAATGTTATTATATTTTTTAAAATAAGGGTTTTTTTTTCTCAAAATTTTTCTCGCCATATCAGAAGAGAAAACCCTTTTGTCATCAATGTATTAAACAATCAAACTCCTTTTAATCAAATTAATTCATATTGATAAATTTTAAAAACTTTTAAACGTAATGTGCTGTGTTGTTTATAAAAAAAATGTTAACATCTATTAATTTAAAACAATTAAAAATGACTAATTTTGATTACGAAGTATTTATTTTTTAAAATATAAAAATATAATAATTTTTTATAATAAAAATATTATTTTATGAGACATGATCTTCTTATATTAGTGTAAGTCTAAAAAATTTTATATTTGATTTAAATTTTTTATTTAATTTATATCTAAATGAGTTATAATTTATTATTTTATTAATTATTAGATATAAGTTAAATAAAAGACGCAAATCAAATATAAAAAAAACTTAGACTTATAATAATGTGAAAAAATTATTCTCTTATTTTTATACAGTTTAAAATTATCAATAAAATTAAATAAAAAAGTGTAATTTTTACATTTTATTTTTAACAATTTAGTAGTATCATCTATTATTTGAAAGAGGATACTCTAATTTGCAAGGAACTGAATAATGTAATTTTTTTTTATTTAATTAAAATTTACTTAAATAAAAATAAAAAAAATTTCCTTCTCCTTTATGTTTCTCTAACTCCCACACCTCTACCTGCTCTTCTTCTTAAAATTTAAATGGTTTGAATTAAAGTGAATCCAGATCAGAGGAGGATGTATCTTCTAGCTTAACTTGAGATTGAGAGAACACAAGCGAAGCCCAGGAACTTGTTTATGAGATATGATCAATGTGGGCATTAAAGGTTTGCCTAGGAAGCACGAAATGATGTCATAAAGTAAATTCATTAGTAATAGTAAATACTTATATCTATGGAAATCATACATTTTTTTTATGTCATTATTATTTGACTTAATATTTTAATATATCATATTATCATTTAATAATATAAATTTTTTTGCTTTCAATTCTTAAAATTGAAGATAAATAATCAAAGTGATAAAACTATTTTTGAAAGGAAAGTATTTATTATTTAAAAATACAATAAATTATTATATATTTTTTAAATATTTATTATTGTAGATTCTTGAAATAAATTTCAAGATCTAAAATTAATGCATTAAATTATGTAATTTAAATAAAAAATTATCATTATTATTTTGTATTAAAAAATCATAAATATTACAAAATTTAATATATTAATAATATTAAATATACTTTTTAATAAAAAATTTAATATTTTTAATATGTGAATATTGTGTATGAAAAATTATTTATAAATTTTTATATTATAAATAATATTTCCCATATAAAAATTATTTTATTTTAATAGTATTAATCATGTCGCATATAAATTGATACATTGCATAATAAAATCATAAAACTGAAAGAACATACTTTTTGTTATATTATTATTAAATTGAAAATTAATGGAAGACTAGAATTCAACTGTAGCAGTGGGGGGCATGAAAGGAAAGAGAGAGAGAAGGGGAAACAAAGACGAAAGAGAGAGAGAATTTGGCAGCACTGTCATAGCCACCATTTCATTCACCACTGGCCACTGCCACCCAAACCTCTTCCGTTGCCTTCCCTCTACAGCCACCTCAGGTTCTTCTTTGTGGTCCTTCCTATCTACTCTAAAACTATTCTCTTCTTCATAACTTGTTCTTCTTCTCTTCTATTAGTTCTCACTGTTCTGGAACTCACAACAACTCAAACTCATAGAGAAACATCATCCCTGTGAATTACAAGTTTCAGCTCTCCCTTCTCTCCTTCAATCAAAGCTCAGAAATCTCACTGCATTCTTATTTCCCTTCCTCGAACAAAGGGTTGGTGAGAGATGGGATACCCCATTTCTCTTTTTTAACCAAAATATAAAGTTACCTCTATCTGTCTATCCCCGATTGAGACCGTTCCGTTTTGGACTTAGTCCACGTTGCACATCAATCCAGAATCGCCCATATTCAGATAGCAAGTCTTCACCTTTCCTCGTCTTTTCACATGCCCAACACTTCAAATTATGGAAATTTTATTGTGTTTCAAGATTGGGAGAATCCACTGAAATTTAATCCCATCCCATTAAATTATTTCCTTTTACATCCATATTAGCTGTAGATATTCTCATAATTTTTTTTACATCAAAATTAGATATACTTGTTTGTTCTTTTTGTTTAATTGTGGATAGGTGGGAACTCATGCACAAACAAGGTAAGGATCGCCGTGGTTTTGATCATTGTAGATTCTCAGATACATTTTTCAGACACTTAGAACCCATATTCAACCCCTCAAATCTGAAACCCCAGCACACTTTACTCGTACTTTCCCTTAACACCTGCATGCTTCTCCAAATCACTAGCTACCTTCTTAGTATATAAATACAAAAGAACACCCCCCCAAAATACACACATACTCAAAAGTCAAAAAGGCTTGCAGATAGAGAAAAAGGAAAAGACATGGAGCAAGAAGGAGGTGCCAGAGGAAGTGGAGAAGGAGGTGACGTGAGTAAGCAACCACAGGATCGAAGAGCAAAAGATATGCAACAAGGAGATGGACAAGGACAGGTTCAGGCTCAGCCTCCTCCTCAGCAACCCCAAAAGTGTCCTCGTTGTGAATCTCTCAACACCAAATTTTGCTATTACAACAACTATAGCTTGTCACAGCCTCGTTACTTCTGCAAAACATGCAGAAGGTACTGGACCCAAGGTGGAACCTTGAGGAACGTTCCTGTTGGTGGTGGTTGCCGCAAGGGGAAGCGCGCCAAAAATTCTTCATCTTCTGCGGAGAATTCCTCCCGGTCTCAGCCACAACCACTACCACAAGAGGTGGCTCAAACCCAACCATCATTAACAACTGTGGTGAGGGCTAAAGACCCTTCTTCAGTTGTGGCTTCACCCTTCTATCAAGGTGGTGGTGGAGGGTACTTGTCTTCTCTGGCTGCTATTCATTCACTCAACCCATCACACCCTTTTGATCAGTCTTTGAATGTTGGGGGTGACGCCGTGCGTTCTTCTAATTTGGGTCTTCTATCTGGTTTTAATGTTGCTGCTCTTGGCCCACACCGCCCAATTCGTCCACCACACTTGTATCAAATGGGTGGCAATGAAAGGGAGGTGGTGAATCTGTATGCGGGAGAACCAGGTTTGATTAATCCATCTAGCATGGCTCATAGTGGTGCTGTTTCTCAGCATGATTGGACTCACAACTTCATCAATAATAATGCTAGTGATAGGGTCGTTTCTGATGCTTCTTTGTGGAGTACCATCAGCACCACTTCTATTGGTGGCAACTCTGAAAGTACTAGTGCTAGTGCTGGTTCTTCTTCTTTGGTTCCAAATCAATGGCCTAATCTTCCAGGGTATGGCCCTCCGCCGTGATTTCATTGTGCTGGTGCACCCTCCGGTGGACGGCTTAGTTCTAAGCAAATTGATTTGTCTTTTTTATATATATTTGATATTTGATGTCCTTTTAGAGGTATATGATCAGTAGAATAGGTTTATAGCTGGGTGTATTGATCTTGGTTGATTGTGCAAAGATTGGACCCTAGAGAATTTTGTGTTATTGGTAGGGGATTAGCAACCTTAGCATTTTGTTTCTTGTGTCAATAGACAAATTGCATAGAGATTTCTGGGTTGGGTCAGGTTGTTTCCAAATTTTACAAATAATTTATTATTATTATTATTATTGTACAGTTATCAGTTTTTTTTTTTTTTTAAGATTTTGTGTTTTAGATCCTCTGCCTTTTTTGTTACTATCTTGCTCAAAGCAAAGTATGATTTGTTAGTTTAAAACAAAGTCTATAAAGGAATCGATTAACGAGAACTAAGACAAGGTGTGCTAAATGCATGCACAAAGTAAGTGGTGTATTTGTTGAAAAAGTTGATGGAATGGTTCCATATTGGGCATGTGGGTGACTGAAGATATCCAAATTCTCTTTCGCATTAGCGTCTCATTTGTTTTATTTGGGATGGTGTTTTGTGCGCTATACTGTTGAGCTTTAGCTTCCTGGCTTGTTACTACCATGGATGAGTCATCTTAATCCTTGCTCCGCATCTGAGCTAATAATAATGCATGCAAACTGTTACTTGTCCTTGTATTCCGACGTTGTCAATTACAAATCAAAAAGCACATGTGACCTGCATGAGTTTTCCCTTATTATCTGATCATTAACTAACCCATTGTCCACATAGATCTTTCTCTTTTTATTTTTGCTCCTTTTCTTTTGGCAGGATTATATGCACTTAGAATATAGTTTAGAGCAAGCTTTCCCAAATCATAGAAACTAAATTATATGTTAGATGTCACATTAAATTGGACTCAATAGAAATTTATTGTAGAGAGGAGGTGAAATTTTAACTTCAGGAATACCCGCAACTCGAATCAATATAGAAAATTGTTAATTATATAATAATATATGAAAATTGAGATGGAATTTTGGAACTTGCAAGTGAAAATTTGTTTGGGTCATCATTTAATTTAAATTTAAATAAAGTTAATTTTAATCTATTAAATGTGATTAAATTATAAATTTTTATTGAACATATAAAATAATCTTATAACTTAAAAAAAAAAAAACTTTGTAGTATAGTAGCATTTGTGTTATTGTACTTGTACTCCTAAGTTGTACATGAGCATAACCCATGTCAAGGAAAATAGGCTTGGGACGAAATATGTACGAAATGCCGGGGTTCATGGGGTGTGTGAGGTCGTGACTTTCGAGTAAAGCATATCTTTGGTCTGCCATAAGAAGATCTCCAAGCAGAGAGAATATGAAGGCAGTGAAACATCTCAAACATATCTCTCCACTCTGCTGCATCCTTTGTCACACTAGTGTGAAACTTCTGACAAGTGAATGCATCAACACTCACTGGTAGGATTGGAAAATAGCACCATGCCGTCACAAAATTCACTTTCATGGTTTATAATTTCTGATTAAATGTTTACAACTTAAATATTTTGTATGACGATTTTATTTAACCGTACAATGTATTACAGAATTAAAAAATTATATATAGTAATTTTTTAATAAAAATTTAATATAATTAAATGAATTAATACAATTAACTGTTATAATTTTTAATAAAAATTGTTATATATTTTTTATGTTGTGCAATATTGTACAATTTTAAAAAAAAATTATAAAACATTTTATACAGGAGACATAATAATAAATTATGATAAAATGAGTAATATAATAAAATTTTTTAAAAATTAAAAATAAATTAGTACAAAAGCAAGTAAGACACAAACATAAGGATTGAGAATGTCGCTTATAATACAATTTGAGATGGTGTTTTATGAAAAAAATTTATATGTTTTTAAAAAATAAGAGAATATTACTTTTAAAAATAATCATTTCAATGGAAGCGGCACGTGTGTTTTGTTGTATATATTATTTTTTCAGGTTTTGATAACCATGATGAATATGTATTGCCAGTAAAATAAACTCTTTCTCACATTCTCTACATTTTTTTTTCATGCCAAAAGGTTGTGAAAAAGAGGGGAGGAAAGTAAAATAAGTTCATTTTCTAATTATTGGCATAAAAAAAGAAAAATAAAAAAATAAAAAATATAATTAATAGTGTGATTAATGAAAAAAGTAAGAGAAAAATAAAAAGAAGAAAAAGGTAAAGAAAGAAATATAAGAAAGAGAGGTGCATGAAAATCAAAATCCTTCTTATAAAAAGATTTGTGATAAAAAAAAATAATGAGTTTAACAATAATAGCTGTGTTATATAGCCTATGTTATTTATTATATGATTTTTTTTTTCTCTGAGTCAAACTATAATGGTATTGACTTGGCTAATATTATTAATGTTTTTAAAAAAATTATAAAAATGAGATTCAAAATATAATATAAATATTAATAGAATTGTAAAAAGTTATCAAATTTAAAAAATTGTCATCAGAATTTTTTTAAAAATATTAAAAATTATAAATATTAAAATTTGTCAATAATAATTTAGAATATAAAAATAAATAAAAGATCCATAACCAGTATATATACATATATTATATAGTCTAGTAAATAAATTATATAAAAAAGTAGTAATTTGATACAAAATTTTATCCCTTAAACACGTTTGAGAAGCCTTAGAATGAAAGTCACACACAAGATGAGAACGTGGGAGTGGGGAACCTTCTCTATCTCTCCCTCACACTTTACCCCTTTGTTCCTTCATCTCTATATATGGTCGTCTAACATAGCAGTCTTTACTTAAAGCTGCTAGTGACACATGCATGGAGGAACAATCCAGTGTCTAGCTTTAACACCACAATCCAATCCAGCATGATTTTGATGTATACAAGTGTATGTGTGGGACTCTATTTTGCTCGTGCCCTGTGAGAGAATGTATCATTAGCAACTTAGCATGAGCAAGTGGTGGTGGACCCATATGCCACCATATATCACTTGGGCTCCTTACCCTTAATCTACACTTGCGTTGCTTGGACCATATTCTATTGGGTGAGTCATAATCTTTTGCAGTTGAGCACTCATTACCCGGCCAATCAACTAGTTTTACATATTAAGGATTCTCTTAAGTCCTTTTTTTTTTTTCTCTGTTTATTTATTTGGCCAATTATTTTGGTTAGCTGTAATCATGGATCTAAATTCACTCATTTCATGGCTCCAAAGGTATATGAATTGGCGATTTCCTATCTGACACCACGCTATTATAAAAAGTTAATTTTGACTGCTTTTCACCAAAACAAAATATATTTGACTGAACCCCACAAAAACATTATTGTTTTCATGCATAGTATGAAATAGAGATGGTAAGAATGGATTAGTCTGTTTCCATAGTAACAAAATTAACCTATCTCTGCATGTTCCAGGGGAAAACATCTGCTAAAGATATAAAAAAAGGTAAGAAAACAAAAGAGAGAGTATAGTGACCAATAAGTAAGGGGTTTAAATTGTTAATTAATTAAACAAAAACCAAAGACCAATCAATCTAAAAATTGATAAAATAAAAAATTGAAAAATTCCATTATATATTATAGTTTAGGTTCTTTTGATTTAGACCAAAGATTAAATTAAAATAACTTCTACTGGTTAATCCACAGACTCACTCAGTAGTATATATTATAGTTTAATTTGAAATTTGATTTCTATTATTAAAATTAATGTCTTTAAAAAAGAGAATTTTTAAGCAATTGATTATTTTAATAAAATTTTAAAACTTAATAGAGAATATTTTGCATATTATAATTATATTTATGTCATTCATTTATATATATATATATATATATATATATATATAGTAAAATATGCTTTAATTTTGATTTTATATTTTTATTAATTCTATAATTTCAGAATGTAAGAAAATGACCTTATCTAAATTTTAAATAAGATAAAAATAAAAATAAACTCGTTCTAAGACTTTATTTTAATCTAAAGTTTGAATTGTTATTTCTCATTAGAAGTTCTTGTTACAATGAATAATTCCATCATAACAATATACTTTTACATTTGTGCCATTGATTTTCAAAGCTGCCTATAAAATTAATTTTAGATATCCAAAGTTGTGTTTGTATAAGTTTGTGGTTGCAAGAACTGTATTTTATCATGATTTAGATTTATGAATATTCTATTTAAATTCTTGTTCAACAACTTTATATTTTAGTTATATTTCAATAAGACAATATTCAAAACCTTAAACCATCGGTAACTGATTTGCAAAAATAAATAATATTATTAAAAGAAAATTTTTTTCTTAAAACTCCAATTTTGATTTTTTTTTAATTTTGATTAATTAGATAAGTGGACAGAGTCACTTAAAAATGCAAAATTCCCTTATATTTATTTATAAATTTAAAATAATTTTTAACAGAAAAAAACTCAGACCACATAAATCAATAACAAACTCTTAATTATTTTCAGTTTGATCTCACCATTATGAATTTATCACTTTTATTTTTTTAATTATTAATATATAAATATCATATTAAACTTTTAACTAATTAAAGTGAATTGGGAATGCTATAAATCTATCAAAACATTTTTAAGGGATATCTTACCAAGAAAGTTCACTCAAATTCATTTAATGTGGCTATTAATTGCAATAGTATTTATATTTTTAGGAAATACTGAAAATAATTATTAGTTTTGTTGGTAGCCACTTTTACTCTTGTAATGGCTAAACACTAAGAAATAGTACGGGGATGTACAAATTCAATGAGTTTTGAAACCTTTACCAAAGGAGAAAGAGTTTCACTTTTAGTGCTAATTTTGGAAAGTTTTTATAAATCTGTTTACCTTTCTATATTACTTTTGAGTTTTTTAGGATAACTTTAGCAAAAATTCAAATTATGTCAGTGATAACTTTACTTCTAGACGTTTTTCCTATTTTCGAACCTCAACTAATCCCAATATCTTTATTTTTTTTTTTTAACCTTTAGTGAGAAACGAAGGTTGTTTCACAAACCAAGTATACTCACCATTTTTAAGTACTGAATTTGGATTTTCTATAGCTGAGATTTCACCTGCATTCTGTACTACTAAAAAAAAGTGTACATTTAACAATAAACCAAAAAATGCAGACTATAAAACGTGGGAGGGCTTTGAATTGCAACTACAAGGTCTTGCATGGAAGCGATCCTCTTCATTTTTGTAAATTTTATTTTTGAAGAAAAAAATTGTTGGCAAAACATTTTTTAAGATACTAATTATTAGTTAAAATATATTAAAAATTATAAAAACATATAAAAATTAAGAGTAAAATTTATTTATTTATTTGTGATTCTTAATAAATTAATTAATAGTTACAAATGTGTTATTAGTGCTTTTCCTTTTAGTATTATTTGAAAAAATTAAAAGGAAAATACTAATAAAAAATAAAATTTTCTACACTTTCATAAAAGTTATTTCATCTCTTGTAATTTCTTATAATTGAATCTTTAATAATGTTAATATTTGCATAAAAGTTCAATATAAATAATTTAAAACATATTAATATCAATCCTTAAGTATGCAAAGCTACATACATTTAGAGGATTTATGATCCCCCAATTGTTTTTATTTTATATGCAACATCAATTTATTAAAAATTAATGTGTATTTAGCTAATGTTATTTAAGAAGAATAATATACTATTTTTATTATGTTGATTATTATATTAATTATACAATTTTTTAATTTTTGTTAATTTTGAAAAAAATATTTGTTAGCAAATTAAATCTTTTAAATATCAAGTGTCGTTTTCTAGGAAATAACAGTTCCATGAAGTTTTGGTCGCTGTTTGTTTAGCGTAATCATCATGGGCTAATGGAATGTGTCTCGATCATTACTTGACAAATTGGCCACATATTCCTCCGTCGGTTAAGGCCTATACAGACAAAATTATTTATAAGTAGATAATAAACTTAAAAGAATGTGAAAAAGAAACACTTGAAAGTATTATTATGCACAACAATCGTTATAAATTAATTTCTTACAATTAAGAAATACGAGTTAACATTGACTAATAAAAGCGAAGGCATCAAAAAATCTAAAACAGAGGAAAAAGTGTATAGGGTGGTGGGGGAATTTATTCGATTCTTTTCTTTAGGCTGAAGAAGAAGGCATATTATTCTCCAACACACATTTCAACCTAGTTTGACTTGGTTCCAACAAAACATTTTCAAACATTCCCTAGTTGTTTTGGGTTGGGTTTCCTTGCGACTAAAGTTTTAAAGTTTAGTTGATGTCTTCCACAGAAAAAGATTGTGGTTGTGAGTTGTGACGAAATCTGTGCACTCATGCCATACAACTGCTCGTGTCTGGTTTGTGACTAGTTGTCATATTTCTAATTGGCTTCCATCGAGAATGATTTTGGTGGAGGGTTTCTCTGCTTTATAATATTATTTAACCAAAATGTTGTTAATGAATTTGGTGGAGTGTGAGAAAACGGTAAAGGATTATGTTGAGGAAAATATTAATATTATAAACTCTCGTTTTCAATGGCAATAAAATACAATATATTATTTGTCTTGTGTTATTATGTTAGATTATGTTTGTTGAAAACAATGGGAAAGAGTTATTGGGGGAAAATAAATTCCAAGAGAGACATTTATAAACATATAATTTTATATTTCGGCAAGTTTCTATTCATCGGTTGCATTGGTTTGGAATTCACTTAAAATTTTGTTAGTTTTAACTTTGGCATTAGTGTTGGAGTATATTTTGTAAGCACATTGCCTTTTTATTTTTCACTTCAAACATTTTATCATTGCAGCAAATTCAACACTACTGCCTCACATTTAACTCATCCTATCATTCTTATAAATTATAATTTTTGGCCTTAAATGATCGAATTCGTGGTATTATATATTGAATGAATAAATGTATCTATTTTTATGGACAAATGATGAATATCTCGTTAGCACAAATTTTATAAAAAATAAAAAATATATAATAATTAATGCATCTGATAAAAATTGTTTATTTCTGATATTTAACAAAAAAATAAATTATCAGGAGTTATTTTTTATAAATAAGACCTGAAGTAGTACTATAGAAGCTCGTTAAACTCAATATGTTAGTAGGTTCAAAATCATATTTAATTTAATATGGTTTATTTGAATTAATTGTTGTGTATAATTTATTCATGTATTCGTACATGCTAGATACGTAATTTAACCATTGTACTCAAAATCATAGTTAATATTTATTATTTGTAAATAGTTTTGTAAATTTGAGTAAGAGAAAATTTAAGTTTTAAAACCATAAAAGTAACCGAGAAAGAAAAATTAACTGTATGGATTTGCAAGTTTCTGCCTTGAAGGCCGGAGGCCCATTCTAGCTAGGAATTGGCAATGGGGCCTAAACCCCTAAGGTCCATATGTTTCTATATTTTTAATTTTTTCTTCATCACAACATCCGGTCATTAGTTGACAAAATATAAAAAATACAATAATTATAAATAAAATTTGATACACTATAACAAACAATTGATTAAATATAAAACAAACAATTCATTATACATTACATTATTATAAAATTAAATATATAATTGACAATTAATTAAATATATAAATATAATAATTAATGTTTATATATTTTTCTAAATATATAATTAGAAAATTAATGACACATTAATAAAGTCAAATAAAATAATTTAAAAAATAAATTACTTACATTAAGAGTTTATTTATAATATAATCAATAAAATTAAGTCAATATAAATTATTATTCATCTATGTGTCAATTATATCAACTATCTTTTTTTTTTACTTAAATTGTTTGCTCTCTACTCTCACTTCCTCCCTTCTTTCACTTTTTACTCTTATTTCCTCCCTTCTTTCTTCATGTTCAATCTTTAAATAGTTATATAAGTCGATTTGAGTTAATTAGAACAAAACTAAAGTTAATTATAATTAAATTTTATAATTAATTTATAATTAAATTTTTTAAAATGAGGCTAACATCTTCCAATTTGTTGTATGAAGTAAAACAAAAAATATATTTTTTAAAAATTTTCAAATATTTTGGATCCTTGAATAAGATTAGATGGTTAAAAATAAAAAACAAGAAACTAGTCATACAAGCTAAATTTATAAAAGAATATATTGGTAATTTTATATATGTTCATATTCTTCATTCTCTTCCTCTTCTTCTTTGTATAAATTATGATTCATAAAATAAAGAATTTACAAATAATAGAACTCTTTACACATAAAAATATATAAAAAAAATAAAAAACTAGTAAATGTTGAAATTTTAGAATTTATTTTTTTCAAATCTCCTTTGCATGTTTAAATTAGACAAATCTTAAAAATTTATTTGAAATAAATATATAATTTATATAAATTTAAGCTCAATACTAAAAGTTACGACTCTTAAAAGTTTACACCTTAAATACAACAATGTTATATATATATATATAAACCTTACTTTTTACATCAATTTTCTATTGATGTAGAAAGTATATATTTAAAAAAAAAAAAACTTTTTACATTAATTTTCTTATAAAAATAATTTAGAAAGTAACATTTTTATGTTGATTTTTTTAAGAGAATTGATATGAAAAATACATATACAATTTACTTTTTTACTTTTTATGACTAAGATTTAATATATGTTACTTATCCATTTTTTTTTAATTTTAGTCATTGATTACTACAAAATCAAATTGATAATCTTAAATGATTTATAATTTGCTTATTCAGAAGTATTACTTTTTTAATTTTCTTACTTTTCAAAGTAAATAGAAAAACGTTAGTCTCACTTATTTTTTTGTACTAAATTAAAGTTAATTACAGTCAATTTCTTTAAAAATATCAAATGAGAACTAAAATTGATTGAATCTGACTTCTTTTATATAAAAGTTGACTAAAATTGACTTCATTATAAATTAAAATGCAACATTTATGTAAACTAAAGCACTTAGGAGCACATGTGTAATATACTATTTAAATTTTTTTATTTACATAAAAAATTCTTTTTTTTTATCTCTTTCTATTATATTACCATTTGCTTTCCTTATTCTCTTTCCTTCACCCACATAGGACATAATTATTATATTTGATAACTAAAATTCTATAAATTAAGTTAATTTTTCAAAATTAATTTAAGAATTAAAATAATATTTGTATTAGTTTCTTAAAGAAGAAAACACCATTTATAGTCTAATTATTTTTTAAAAAGATTTATGGTCTAATTGTTTTTGCATTGTGTACTCTTTAACTACCTTTTCCGGATAGCAAAACTAAACTACATAAGAAGTTAAAACTTGTATACAAGCAAACTCTTAATTAATAGTTGTTGGTTGCACAGGTAATGAATCCCAATTAATTAACATATATATTATTATAACCCATTGGCTATAAATGTTGAAAATGAAGTTACCAAAGCAGTTAAAATTACGGGTAGGAATGTTTGATTTTGTTGTTTTAACTACTAAAATTTAACGTATCATATATAATTATTTCTATTATTATTTATTGTGTATTCATTGTATAACTTAGAGGGACATTTAAAAAAATAATTTCGTAATATTTTTCTTGATAGTGACTAAGAGTACGAATGATCTGTTATACAAACGAGCTCATTGTTGATAACCTCAAGCAATGCCAGTTGATTGAATGAAACTTGTGTGATTCCTCCGCTGCTAAATCTAACTCATTGAAGGCATCTTCTTTCTACAAACACACTTGGGTGCAAATAGTAGAATAGAATCTCTGAACATCATGGAATGGAATCCTTTCTTTACGTAGCAATAAGCAGATTCTCAGGCTCTCCTAGATCGTTTCCATTGCAACTTTTTGTTTGAAATCTCCGTACGGAAAACAAGAGTTGCAAGTGGGTGTGTAAACAAAATAACTGAAAAGGAATTAAGAGACAAAATAATGACCTTATAAGTACTCCTACGAGAAGGAGTTGTTGACTTACTGTCTTGAGTTTTGGGTCAAGAGTTCAGACGTTAGACTAATTATCACTACAAAAAGTCCCCATTTAAACAACGCTGCAACCTGCAAACTTCTCAAATGTTTAAAGCCTTGTTTTAATTTGATCTATCTGTTTTCCCAATCTCTAAACGTAAATGGATTAATGGACTTGAGCTTGAAGCATGGGAATCAACCAACTTGTTCGAAGTACATGGTTATATGTATATTACACAGTTGAAATTCAATAATATAAGAATTCAAACTTATTAAAATATCACTTTCAACGGTTTTTTTTTTATTATCAAAAACGTGAATTTATTTAACTAAACCATTGAATTTTTTATATATTTTAATATTAATTATTTATATAAAAATTTCAAAATTTTATATTTATAAATATATATAGTCTAATAGTAATTATTTATTTATATTTTAAATAATATATTATATGTTTAAATAAAATAAAGAGATGAAGTATTAATGAATATTTAAATTATGTAAAAATTTGTTAATTTAATATATTTTATAAGAATTTTAAATTTAAATATTCGATTGATAAAATTATTTTTTATTAAAAGAAAAAGTGAAAAAAAATAATGACACAATTTTGTTAACCTGAGCTTTTAAATATGATGTTAAAGGAGATAAAAAAGAATTAGTACATTAAAATATAAAATATTTAAGAGTATATTTGTTTCTATTTTTAAAATAATTTTCTGTTTTTAAAAGTAAAATATAATACAAATTTGTTTTATTTTTAAGAACAGAAAAAATTTTAAATTGAGAAACAAACTTGCCCTTATATTTTCATTTTGTTTTTTATTTTTTTTATTTTAACGTGAGCCCTTAACGTTAAGAAAATGGTTAATTCTAGAGTAAAAGAAAGCTTGCTGCATGTATCTTGTTATGCTTGATTTTACCTCTAATATTTATCATGTTTTCTTCCGTGCGTTAGTTATTATACGAACACATATATATATTTTACTATACTTTTTATAAATTTTTTATCATATAATTTATTTTATCTCACACTTTCTCTTTCCCTTTTATCTTTCTCCTATACTAGTTGTTTAAAAAATGATATGAATAGAGTTTCTCTTCTAAATATCACCTGAATTGAAATATACAGACGAAATGTCCCTTCTTCCTATAGGACAGCACGAATCCAAACCCTGCTCGAGTTCCCAACGTGTGCAAGAGATAACAGCTAGATTCCCTAGGCCATCTTACAATTACGTACCATTCCAGCATGCCCATTTGCTTAGAGTGTGAAACAGATGCTCATGTGTCTAAAAAGATACATAGATAAATATTCTGTGCATGGACCAAAGTTTCTCAGAAACATTAGAGAGAACAAGGTTGAACATGTGTAAAAACAAACCACCGACATTCATTAATCACCCTCTCTTCTCTTCTATTAAAACCATTATACCCAACATATTCCCATTTGCCATATCCAAAACAAATATCATCACAAAGTTAACAAAAATGAAACCAATATTATTAGTTCCTTTCTGCAAGGACAGCATCATGTACCCAGTAAATCCCCTACCCCACCTAGCTAATCACAGCTAGTACATTACAAAGTAATTAAGAAAAGATATGTCATCGCATATATACATAACAAAATGAAAGACCAACTTACTCAACCATACAGGATTTCCACAGAGAACACTGCACAGACGGGGGTGGTAGCCACTGTGAGACTATGAGAGAAGCGGATCAGAGGTTCCTCTCAGCGCAAATTACGCAATTCCCAACCTTGGCATATAAAACTAACAGGCTGAAGAGTAATTGTATTTGCAGTATGCAGCTGACATGATCTCTCGGATCCAAAAACCTCTCACCTTTAGCTTTCCCATTTTTCTTTCAAGTATTTTTTTCTTCGTCTTTTTCAACAAATTTTGATGTAAGTAAACCCGACCCATATTGAACCCCCCCCCCCCCCCCCCAAAAAAAAAAAAGTAAAATTAAAAGCAAAAGATGACCTTAAACAAAGGGGAGAGTGACAAAGTTGAAAACCATAGTTTTTCTAGATCAGAGAAGTGACTGATGGACCAATATTAGCTTGATCATTCCAAACACTCATAGCCGTTGGTGTATTCCAATAAAGCGAAGGATCGTACAAGCCCACATGCTCGATCTGGTTTTGGCAAGCACCATTCCACTCCAACCTGCTGTTTTGTCCTAATTCCACTTTCACATCTTTTAAAGCCACCATCTCTGCCTCATTGCTATTTCTTGCCATTTGCAGCTGCTCCAGTGGGGCTAAGCCCTGCTGGAATCTGTTGCTATCAATAACATCTTTCAATCCACCGATGATATTGAGCTTTTGTTGCATCAGAGTCGAGCTCAATAGAGAAGACATAACTGGAGTAGTAGTGGATGTAGAAGTTGAAGAAGAACTAAAGATGGAATTATAATTACTTGAAACAAGTATATTATTTGAAATAAACCCATTCCTCTGGCTATAACCATTATTATTATCAGCAGCTTGATTGGATATAATCCCGGATGAAAAACCCAATCCAAGGGCATTATTCAGCTGATGAGGCTGAAGATCATACCCAGAACTTGAGACTCTAGAATTGAACCTTGGGAATGGAAGACTCACATCGCTAGAGTTACTGGGTAACCCATAAAACAAAGGGTTGACATGATTTGAGGTTGAAGCAGTGTCGATCTGGGCTTGTGAAGCTGCAGTAGGAGCTGAAGAAGAAGAAGAAGCAGTGTCAATGGCAGAGGAGGTGGTGACCATAGGGCGCTTGACACGCTTGTTTTTTCTGCATCCACCACCAACAGGAACATTCCTGAGGGTTCCACCTCTTGTCCAATAGCGTTTGCAGGCTTTGCAGAAGTGTCTTGGCTGTGACAAACTGTAGTTGTTGTAGTAACAAAACTTGGTGTTTGATGAGTCACAGCGAGGGCACTTGAGGGCATGTTGTTGTTGTTGTTGCTGCTGATGCTGAAGATCTTGACCTGGTTTTTCCATTACCCTACTACCACTTGAGGAACCCATCGAGACCTTATGATCGTCTATTATCTGATGAAGTGAAAAATTAGAGGATACGAAAAACAAAATAAAATACAAAAAGAAAGATCCAGTTTAAGGTGGCGTTCTTCTAGCTAGGGTATGATAACAAACACAGTGTAGATATTCTCTTCCAAAAGCAAAGCAACAAAATTGCACTGGTCATGTATTTGTCTAATAATTGTGTGTGTGTGTGTGTGTGTGAGAAGAGAGAGAGAGAGAGAGAGAGAGAGAGAGAGAGAGAGAGAGAGAGATGAATTACCTGTGGCCATTGGTTAGTGGTTGGAGGAATGAGTACCATTTTCTCAGAGTTACCCGACATTTTGCTCACTCAAAGGAATCCCTTCAAAACAAAGAGTAAACAGACAAAGAGCAGACGTGAGTCTCGGTTCAATTAAGGTTTCAAATAGTTTGCCAGTTTAAGGGAGGGATGTGAGAGACTAAAAATTTGAAAGCATGCCAGTTGAACTTAATGAATGAATTAGATGATAAGTATTTAGTGTATATTATTGTGTTCTTTAACCATTGTCGTTATTATCATGATTAAAAAATAATAAACATTTTTTATTAAAAATTAAAATATTAAATATATTAATAATATTAAATGTTATACTCCCTGATATATCATTTATGAAAAATAATTATATATTACCATTTTCTTAAATGTAAGAAATAAAAATTTATTTTTAAATACATTAGTTGTTAAAAAATTTATACTTTATTTATTATAAAATTTGAATTAATAAAACATTCACCATTACTCGTATATAAATTCATATATATATATATAATATTAATTTGACTATTTATCATTATAAGTATTTTTAATATATACTATAAATTTATAGTATATAATTACTTTTTTATTTCACTTGACAAGTGTGGTTTAAATCAGAATACAGATTATTACTATGACTAAACGGATGTGATTTTTTTTTTTTTTCACATTTCAATTTTCATGTCAGCTAACATTATTTTCCTTCTGTTTCTTTATTTTTTTAATCTTATTTATTTCATTCTCTTTCTTCTTTTTATAGTGTTATAACCTCGTTTATTTTTTTTAAAAAAATTGAATAAGTAATTAAAATAATGTTTGTTTGATAACCTTTAAGATACTAAACACTCCGAGTAAAAGAGAAATAGAAAAAGATAACATGCAATAAGAGAGGTAATTAAAAAAAGATATTTAATAATCATTGTATTCTTATGAAATAATTTAATTAAATTTTTTATAATTTTTTATTTATCTCTATCATATATATTATTCATCTTATTTTATATCTCTTTCAGTTGTAGAAAAAGATAAAACAACAAATAAAAGTAGCATTTCTCAAAATAAAAAGAAGTGTAAGATAAATATAAAAAATAGAATTGGTAGAGGAATTAGAAAAAGACATTCAAAATCCAAGAGGAAAGAGGAAAAATAATAAAATATATTATTCATATCATTTTTTATATATTATTTTATCCCTTTTCATTAAATAAAATACTATATACTAGTATTATACAACTAGCATTTTTCAAGTGATTTGGGAGTATTATCCAATGAAAGCACAGTTTAAGGAAATAAAATATTTTAAATAAAATAAAATGTTTAATATATTATAAATACAAAAAATTAAAAATATTTAAGAAAGTAAGTCAAAGTTACACAGACCAACAGTAGACACTGGTTCCACGCATCAGTGCCCAACATTCCCTCGTAGTTGTACATAGGGAATCAACTAAGAAATAGTATGAAGAAGGAACCCCTAAAAAGCCCAATGCCCTATGAGAATCGCCCTGCTCCAATTAGTGTTATGATTTTATCGACAGACACAAGAATTAGAATTTTAACTTGAAATATAGTTCTAATGTGAAATTTTAACTGGAACTAAATATGAGAAAACATGCAATCGCATTAATCAATAAATGGTACATATTGTGAGCAAGCAAAACAAAATTTTCTGTCTTTTTAAAGGGATTGCGAGACAAATTAAGAAACTGTACAAGTAAAGACAAGAAAATTAAAAGGCTTTTGTGTTCATATTTTAATAATTTTTTTAATTCTTCTAAATGAGTTTTTTTTGTTTAGTCTCTCTAATGCTTATTTAGTCTATTAATATATTATTAAGTATCAGTTCTTTTTTGAGCCACATAGTTAGAGTGATAGAAGTAATAGTTCATGAGAAAATAAGAATAAAACAAATCATTTGAAGAGAGTAAAATAAAAATTTATTATAATGCAAGGACAAAAATATATTTAAGTCAAATTAAAATCTTAACCGAGTCATTGAAAATGTAATAACGTTAAAAATTCAAAAAATGATTTTATTCTACATAATAATTTTATTCTATTTACGTTTGTGTTGTATTTATATATTATGGAGTATAAGATCCAAAAATAGAGAAAAGGCCAGCATGTGGTTGTCTATTTCTCAAGGCCCGATCATAGTAAGACCAGGCTTTGCTGTTAAGAACATCTTGCTATGCTTGTTCTTTCTTCTCTCAAACATAATTTGGCCACGACAATTTCGGTTTTTATTTTATAGTTTCTTTTATTGACTCCTTAAAATATCAATCTAAAGTAAATTATAAATATTGAATAAAAATGTTTATAAAAGAATTATTAAAAGAATAATGTTTGATTTTAAAAGAATTAGATTTCTATAAAATATGAAATATGTCATAATTAACATTATTATATGGTTTAGTAAGAATTGTGAAGTTTTAAAATAAAAGGCAATAAAACCGTTAATGGGGGTGTCAGAGAAAGCGGAGAGTGGGAGATGGAGGGTTGAGGTGCAGACTCATGTGGTGGCAGCTCAGCTTCTAAGGAAAAAGAATAAAAGAAAGAAAAAGCAAAGCAGAGATGGGGAACAAATGGATTTTGTAGTCTCCCGAAGGATCTTCTACTCCTCTCAACTTCCCATCATTATTCTTCACCACTTCAAATCCATTTTAAACTTTTATTTTTGTTAATCAAAATGTTACCTTCTCACTTTTACTTATTTTTACCTAATTCTTGTTTTTTATTGCCACTTACAATATTTTACATTAAATGTACAAAAACACTCATCCATTAACACATTCAAAAACAATTATATTATTATAATATTTAAAAATTGACATCATTTTTTGTTCACTTTTTTAAATCTTTTTTATACATATATTTTATTTTTTTAATTTTAAAATAAAATCACATTAAAAATGATCTACTTTGAATGTATAAGAGACCCTTTTTTTAATGGATACTTTATTATAAACATTTAAAATATTTATTGTAATACAATTCTATCGTGAATGTAAATTTAAACACAAACGTATAATAATAATAATAATAATAATAATAATAAGGGCATGTAATGAATTTGGAATATTGCCAACCTGAGATCAGTCACCGTGGCCCATGATTTAATTTAACTAGTACCTATCATTATGTCAGAAGAAACAAATTTAGAACACTTTTAACCAATGGTTATCCAAAGCTCGTAAATATCTTCATTTTTTTTAATCTTTTTTATCGTAAGTTGTAATTTTAGGGATGTTCAACAACGTTCAAAATCCAAATTAGTATGTTTTGAGTATCGCTCATACGCCAAGATATTTTTGGGCAATAATAAGAAGTTAATATATTTTGAGGGGAAAAAATAATATTTTTATTTTATATTAAGTACTAACTGTTTCCTTTCTTATCTTATAAATTTGACATAAAACTAATCACTTAAAGTTATACTGGAATGAGTGCTTTTTTTTTTCCTAATTTTTGTTTTTAAAAAATCCCTTCTACTCTATCAACAAAGAAAAGACAACGTAGTGCTATAAATTTTTCATCACGGTAGGGATTACGGAAGGGCCATTAGATGCATTATCTATTTGCTGCAGGTAGTCTTCCATATTTTCAAGTACTAATTCCATAACTAGAACTTGTAATTTCTTAATAACAAAACTTGTAATTTCTTAATAACACGGTAGTAGCAATAGTTTTACCTCAATGACTTACCTTTAAAAAGAATGATCCACTGCACTAGGCTTCGACCAAATAGGGTTTGCAAAGGGTAATTAAATTTATACAAGTTTACTTCACAAATAGAAAGATCATTTTCAAAATTTAAACTTGTGATTATCAAGTCACAAAGCAACAGCCTCACCTTTCTGTGAACATTAATTTTAACTATTTAGATAAAGTAAAATCACAAGAACAATCAATATATATTGGAGAAATAAATATGCATCAACTGATCGTTCTGTAAAAACAAAATCAATTTGAAACTAAATTAAGATTAAGTCTGAACCAGTTCATTTTTACGCAAATTTATGTAACTGCATGGGATTTTATATGACGTCGTTTTATTATCTTTAAAAATATATATCTAATATTGATTGATTGCAGTGAAATTAAATTGTAACCACGATGAATTTACTTGTTATATTAGAAAGTTGAATCATGAAGTCATAAACAAGAGAAGGGTTACTTAATGATTGAACCTATACCCCAAAAAGTATATATATATATATATATATATATAAAATTTGAAAGTGGTCTTTAGACTCTTTGTTAATTGTTTAGTTTATGTTAGAAAATTTTATTTGACAACGAATCTAGAGAGCGAGTGGCGTGTTTGTGACAATGTGAAATAACAGCAAACATGGGAAACTATATAGAGTACAAGGTGAGTGAGAGACTATATATAATAAAAAATATGACAATGTCAAGTTATATAAAAGAAATATGAAATAATTATAATAAAATTAAAGCTCCCATTATTTATATTTCATGATGATATTGTGATGCATATATATTAATTAATAGGATAGGATCTGTTTCCGATTTGAAGAGTTAGAATGGAGGAGGAAGTGGGTCCTGGCTACCCACCCCCACTACTCACTTAGGACCCATCACCAGCGGACAAGAGATTCCAATTTGGCAAGCATGAAAGAAACCCAACGCGCACGTTAAAGGGAACCCTGTAATTCTGCATACACAAGAGGAAGAGGTTAGAGAGAGAAGATAAAGCTTTGGGGACCATAGCATCAAGCCAAGCCAACTGTACCCATCAAAAGCTGACAACAATGCACCCTAAACAATGTCCAGACAAAGATCTCACTCCTTCATTTGGGATTCAGTTTTATTTTATTATTGCTACTTATTTGGACACTCACTGTTTTGCTTGGAACCTTTCATGTCTGCACAACAAATTACTTTAATGCCCTCCTTCTATTTTGTCCTTTTCCTTCCCGGGCTCACCACAACTACAAGATTCACCATTCCATTCTCATGTATAACATTTCTGACATATAGACACTTTAATAATATTAATATTTTTTATTTTTTTTTTGTATATATATATCTAAAAAATGTCTATTGTAATATTTGGCCATATAAAATAGGCATGCTTTTGTC